CCACTGATAATGGCAATTAAAATCCTACTTTTAGAGAGTTGGCCCTCCGGTTTCTGGATCCCAAGAAATTACAGAAAGAAAGAGGAACGGCAGGTTTGATTTTATAGAAAAGTTTTGCAGGGTGGGAGAAATTCCAGACTTTAAAAGGGATATTATGGGGTGGGGGGAAGGAAAAACAGGCGAAATGTTTCTTAATTAGGTGGAGAAAGAAAATCGAACAGGGAAGCAGGCGAGGAAACGGCGGACAAAAATCCCCATGCGCTTTTCTCCTCTTGCCAGCGAAGCAAAATGGCTTGGAATCCAGAATCGGAGAGAGAGAAGAGGATTTAATTTAAAATACTAATAGCAACAAAAATAAGCAAAGCTTTTTCCTTTATTGTGGATAAATGCTGGATGGGTGGGTGGGTTGCAAGCCATTTACGCAGGAAACCGCGGAACCCGTTTTGTGAACGATTCCTTGCGGAACGAAAACGGGTTCCCCGCACCTCGTGGGAAAACGTGGCCCGCTCCTGAAACCCTCTCGCCCCCCCAATTGCAAAAGGACTAGAGGGGTCCGCAAGGGCTCCCCCCACTGAATCCTGGGTGCTGGGCTGTGTTTTTCTTGTCTATCCCCTGTTTTTCTATACCTGCACGTCTTCTTCATATCTAATTTATTTTATGTTCCAATGGAGTTCATCGTGGCTGCTTGGAGGGTCCCCCCCACCCTTCCCCTTTCTTCACAAATAGGGAAAACAGCTTCAATGGAGTTCATCGTGGCTGCTTGGAGGGCCCCCCCCTTCCTTCACAAATAGGGAAAACAGCTTTCGATTTGGGAAAATACGAGGGGGGGGGAGGAGAAGATCTACTCTCGTGTTTTTCAGGATTTTTCCCCCCGGAAATCGTATTCATTTTATTGTAGAAGAGACGTGGCAAACGCAGGACCGAAGCCGGCTGGAAGGCGCATGAGAGCGAGTGCTTTTCGCCTGCTGCATTTTCTAGACAGGCTTTCTTTTAATTTTAATTTTTAAAACATGTCTATTATGGCTTATCCTCCCGCTACACTTCTAAGAAGACGGAAAGAGGGGAAAAAAACGGACCTTTGCTTCTGATTGTCCAAACGCAATTCTTGTCCAGAAAACATAGAAATCAAGAATTGTGTCTGGACATCTGTGGCCGAGTCTTTCAAGCCCATCCTGGAGGCCTTTCGGGAAAGACACCTAAGGAAGAAGAGCCATATATATAGGATTTCCGTGCCTCCTTGGCCAAAGGTAATCAATACATCTTTTAAAACACACACACACATATACACACAAACACACACACACAGGAAGACAAGTACGTAGTCATCTTTGCAAGGGAAACGCAGACTGGGAACGCAGGCTTTCACCATAAAACGGTAGATTTCTTTCTGTTTCTTCTTGTTAAAGGTTAGATTAAAAAAAAAAAGACTGCCATCCAAGCAGCTTAAAAAAGTCCTGAGGTTTTATCAAGAAATGTTGTGGAATCCAATTTTAAAAGAGGTTAAGGGCAGATCTAGTCCGTATTAGCATCACCAGTCTATATGTGATTAATATGTGCATATACATGTGTGTGTATGTATGCATGTGTGTGTTAGCATCACCAGTCTATATGTGATTAATACACACACACACACATATGCATATACATGTGTGTGTGTATGTATGCATGTGTGTATAGATTCACACAGTATAAATATGTGTGTGTATATACACACATATACACACACACATATATACATATATATATGAGAGAATGAATGATGCATTTGTATCCTTACGTTTTATTCTTGTCCAATGGTTTAACTCTTTATTTCAGAACAGGTTGATGCGGCAATTACATTAATTCCCACTGTGTGTATGCTTTTTTTAAAAAGGATTTTTCTACGATAGAAGAAACTAGCTTTTCTGTGATGATTCGAATGTGGCTTTTCAAGGGAAAGGGAAATGAAACAGTTGCTATTAAACACCAAAGAGAATCCCTCCCACTTTGAAGGGGGGAATAATTAAGTTGGGGGAAGAGCAAATCATTTTTAGAGGACAAGACAGAAAGGCTAGGGAAAGTCACAAAGGTGAAAGACTTTTGAATAAATTTCCCAGATTGTATATGTAAAAAATACCACAAATGGGGATGCGAGGGCATTCGTTGCTTATCTTGAGGCTTTGAGGCTGCTTAGAGAGACAGAAAGAGAGAAGAAAAAGCAGATTTATGAAACATGAACCTAACTAATGTCATGGCGCTGGACGATGGTGAAAAAGTCTCCCTGTTCTCTCCGTTTCCCCTTCATCTTTAACGCCGTCCTGGATACAGAGGTTTGTTGCCTGTTATAAAAAAGGGGATACCTATTTTTATTCAGCCGTCCATAAAGGGGTGGGTTTGCTCTTTCTTTCTCTGCCATTGATGATGGTTTTTCTGACTGCCTTCTGTGTCAGAAGCAGCGTTTTTTCCGGTCAGTTTTGCAGGTCGGGAAGGGAGGATGGCTATTTTGAAGGAAAACACCCTGGTTGGCTTTGATGTGCATCCTCTTTCCAGTGATGTAAGGGTTAGCAGATGACGAGGAAGGGGGGGAAATGGAGTAGAGTTTGTGGCGCTCCAAACCCTTGGATGTCACCACGTGGTTTGAAAGAGTCCACACTTTCAGTGCCGGAGCCGAAAAAAACGACAAGGCCAGATTTTGGAGTCAAGGCCTGCAAGACAGCATTTAAAAACAAATTCTCTGGTCCTCAAAAGCAGACATATTGATTTCATTTCTCATACTTTTTGGGCTCCCACCCTCTCTGAATGGCTTTCTAATTTCATTGCATGGATTATTTTAAAAAGACAATAGCTTTTTTTACATCTCCCTCCTCCCCCACCCCTTCCCAGGAATAGACTATGATCATCGCCTAACATGGTTGGGAGACCATTTCTGATTTATAAAGGCAAAGCCATCGGTTTGGGGTGAAAGGTACCAATCCTTCAGGCAAAACAGCCCACCAGTCTTAGGCCGGAGGGGAAAAAAATCCCTTCTGGGGCTGGATGAAGATGATTGGGGCAGAGGGAAGAGACCCAAAGCAAAGCTCGTGGGTCTAAAATTTCGTGGGCCAACATCCGTCCTGTGTAGTCCTTTTTCAGAAGAGCCCATCACCAGGCTACTCATAAGTAAGGTCCCATTGCATCTTGTAGGATTAAACCCAAAGCATAGACTGGAAATGGAGCCTTGGGGTGTCCCCATGGGGTGAAGGAACCCAGCTTTCCTCAGGCTGGCGCCCTCCAGATATAATAGGATTACACCTGCCATTAGCCCAGCCCAGCCAAGGAATGGCCATGGTTTCTGGGGATGATAGAAGTTGTAGTCTGCTCCGTGTGAAGCCTGCCTGGGTAGGAATGACTAATTTCCCCCCTCACCCTCCTTATCCAGTTCCTCACAGAATTTTGTCCCCATAAACATTCCCATTCAACCTGCATAAACGCCCTTTTGATTCATCGAAATAAGGGCCATTTCCAGAGCATCTCAGAGCTGCGCTTTCTTGGAGGGTTTTTTTTAATCCACCCTCTTTCCCTACTTAACACACCGGGCCAAAGACTCAGATCTTAACAACAAAAGCACAATTAAAATATCACAGTCAAAGGCTGATACTTTAGAAGCTTAACCAGTATAAAACCCCACCCACTCCCCTATTCCATTTTCTGCTCTCAAAATGGAGCGCAGAGCAGGAAGGCGAAGTTCGGACAGCGCTCCTCAAAAACTGCATCAGAATTTCCCAGATGACATCTTTACCTTGAACCATCCAAAGCCCAGCTCACCCCAAGATCATCAATGGTACCCCATTTCGTGGCTCAGATGTCACAAAAGACAGCCATATGTTTTATCTCTCTACCCCTTACAGGAGACGTGAAAACATCATCATCACACCCCACCTTCCCACAAACCTCATCCCAAAAAGATGGTACTTCCCTCCTTCACACTTCTCCATCCTTCTGGGATTTTTTTATTTTTGACAATGTATTTATTGATTGCACTTAGCTGAAATCCACTATTCTGGGTGATTCACACCATTTTTTTAAAAAAAACCCTACCCTCCAGGGCATCACAGCCAGCGTGACAGCAGTCCCAAAAGGGGAAGTATTAATAAAAATGGGGGTGGCCTGTTTAAAAGAAAAAGAGGGTGAGGTGGGATCCTGCCTTTTGCATAGAACAGAGGGGAGAGAATTCTGTCTGGAGCAGCTTCTCTCTTATCTGCAGTGCTCTAAAATGGCAAAGGCCACCCAACTCAATCCCCCCCACCCTAACACCACATTCCTCAGCTCCTAATGACTTTGATGAGTAAGATTGTTGGAGAGTGGGTTGAAATCAGCATTCCAGTCTCCAAAACCTGATGCGCCAAGAAACGCCAAATCCCAGCCTACGGATGTGTTTACGTGTGTTGCCATCATCTATGGCATCCTGCGCACACAAGCTCTGCTCCACCCACCCTCCTCGTTTGCCACCCATTGCATATCCTGTTCTCAGGATCTGGAAATTTCCCCATCTGAGACTACACGTCCCAAGAATTCCACAACCAGTTTGAGCACAAGAATTGTTCTACCAATTTTTTTTTTAAGGGTAAAAAGGCCAATGCTTATTCTGATTGGTTAGATTCCTTCCAGAAAGAGGCATCTTCTCGCTAACTTTGTGCTTTATTTCATGGAAACCCATTCACGAAAACAAAACCCTAAGGCTCATCAGCATCATATTTTTACGCCTAGTTACTTTCCATGCATCTTAAACGGCAGATGGATGTATAAGTCACTTTTGGTACACCTGCGGCCAAATTTGGTTCTTTTTTACTCCTTTCATCCTAATATTGTGCCCCCCCACCGTTATCCATAATCAAAATAGACAATTAACTTATGAGATGTGAGAATAGCATTTGTTTCCATGTTTTTTCCAATTCCATTCTTTTCCCTGCTGTGCTAGTTTTCTGCTAGCGGGGAGCAATTTTTATATTTTTATATAAATAATATAATATATAAAAATTGCTCCCTGCTAGCAGAAAACTAGCATATTGGCATATATATATGAAAATAAATGTGCATGTTTTTGCAAGGAATTATTCAAAGGGCTGTTTTCTCCACCTATGGCTGAGAATCTTAAAGACTACTCTGCCAATTTGGGATTTGAGATTCCTTGCACTGCTACAGCTATAACTGCATTGAGAGGATTCAAAAAGTCTGCTTCTCTTAAATTTCACAGGATCTTTGCTGTTACCAACTTCTTATATTGATATCCTGCTCTCTTTCCAAAGTTCTCCAGGCAGCGCACCCAGTTCCTATCCTGTGCACGCTGTCTTGACAACAACCCTGACAGGTAGGCGAGGCCAAGAAGCAGTGGCTTAGTGAAGGTTTCCCGGTCACCTTTAGGTCCAATACGGGATTTGAACTCACATTTTCCCAGCCTTTGAGCAGCACTCTTCACCTTTATGCTCCTCCAGTTGCATCTTTTCTCACATGGCCACAGAGTAGCTCTCTGATGAGCTAAAAGCAATCTCAAGATAGTAGAATCCACCCATCGCTGGGGCCATCCCATGCCATTTTGCTGCCTAAGTGCCCTTCCTTCCTTCCAAATACAGAAGCTGACTGGCCCGGCCATTGAAGGCCAACAGTGGGGCCATCTTGCCCCCCTTTCCAGTGGGAAGTGGCTCAGTAGAAGGAACCAGGACTCCTTATGTGATCAGAGTCATAGCACCGTCTTCCTACAGAAACAGTCCAGCAAACGCTGTTCTTCTACACTCCCTCCAGCATCCGTGGCTTGACACCACTGCCTCACTCTACCCAACGGTAGGGCCGGCTTGCAACAGAATTATCTATTTCTCTCTCGTTGTGGGTCCAAGAGGAATCTTAAGCAGCCAGGAACTCTACGTGATGCCGTTCCATCTTGAAATGACGACCAGACAAGGTTACTGCAGGACGCCACCAGGAAATAAGGGAGATCAGAGATGGAAAATGCTTTTTAAAGGACAACATCTGGCCCTGCTGACTGTGAGATTCTGGGATTTGTAGTCCAAACCCCCACCCCCAAAAAAGTTTCTCGTATCTGGATAAATCAGAATGGATCTGGCAAAAAAACACAAAACAACATCTTAGGAGAGAGAAATTCCGGGAAAATTTTGGATGAGAAGAATATTGTCTCAAACTATCGGTCAGGGAGCCGGCCTCCCTCCAACTTACAGCCCTCCAAGAAATGTTGGACTACAGCTCCCATTACCTCCAGCAGCTTGTCAATAGGAGTATTGGGCAAGGATGATGGGCACTGTATTCAAAGCACTTCTGGAGACCATCCGTTTGGAAAATGCTTCTGGATTCAATGGTCTTGCTCTTCTAACCTAACTTTCCTCCCTTGTTCTGTTTTTAAATTTTTCTTTGTGTTCCCCTTCCTGCTCCTATCACTGAAAATGAATAAATGCATTTTCTGTAACTCTGTGCAGATTTCAAAAAACTGCAACTGACGGAGAGACAATTATTAAATTGCTTTAGCCACACGAGAGAACACTTTTTGTTTTGCTTTAAATTTTACTCTTAAGCCTTCCATCCCATTCCTGTCCTTGTTTCTTGTTCTTCTAAGCCTCTTAATAAATCAGTGATAAATTGTTTGTAAATTATCGAGAAGGTGCCCTCATAATTAAAACCCAGGCTGTTTAAAGACAACCAACAGAGGTTGCTGGCTTTAATGCTGAATAGGGTGAAGTTTTTAAAACACAGTATGTGCTGGTAGACAGTGGAGAAAGCAGAACATGACTTTAGGGAAGAATATTAAGTCAAAACATGCAGGAGTGGCTAGGTTAGAATCCTGTTGCCACTCTATAAAACAAGTTTTTTGGGAGCAGAGGGTTAAGCATCCCTGCCAACTTCCTGTTTCTGCTGCGCCACCCTATCATCAATGTATTACTCAAGAAACCTATAATTTAACATGCTTTCCTTTGTTACTTGATTATTTATTTCACCCGTCCCTTCCCCACTTCTTCTAAGGCCCTGGAAGGCTCAACCACATTGTCTCGCCATAACCACCCGACAAAGCCGGTCTCGAGATCGAGCGAGTGAACCTCCACCAGCACCAAATTTAAAACTTTTATTCACATCCTTCCACATAAAACAAAACACACACAGAGCTTATTCTAACAGCAGGGACTTGTTCGCGTCGGCCCCATAGCTGTTCGGGCGAATTACAGCCACTCCTGAGCAACATTGAGGAAAATATCAAGATTCAATATTCATTTCCTTTGGTTCTCTCCTGAGCTGGTTTTACTACATTAACAGGAAGGCCTTTTTTAAAAAACCTGTAACACCTCTGGATTTCAATGCCTGTTGTTGAATTGGGAGTTTTCATTCTAATCTTCTGTTATTTATTGATTATTGGAACATGTCTTAGGAAGTTCTGCCTTCTCCTAAAGAGTGGCCTACAGATTTTTTTTAAAATCAATAAAATAATCTAAAGTCCACAGCTGGGAATCTGAAGTCGTAATTGATGCGATCAACTGCAACCTCACACCCACCTCCAGCCTTCTCCTTATAAATTTTGTTCCTTCTTCCAACAAAAGCTTATCAAATTTGGCCCAGGGAGACGAGCAAGGCACAATTTATTTGGTGGGTGTTGTGTTATATGTTGCTTTGGAGTCTACTGGTGCTGTGTGCTTTCTTTTTTATTGCCATCAGTTTTAATGTTTCGCGGTAAACACAAGAGAGATTTTTAGGGCACACGGGTAGCTTCCAAATATCATCAAACAGCTAATAGACGGTAAGTCTAAAGCAGGCACCCCGGCACAACTTTTAAGCCCTATTCTGAACCATCAGAATGCTGCCTTAAAACATGTCGGGGGCACCTCTGAGCATGCACAAAGTAATTTCCTTCACGAAACAGCAGCCACAGGGGATTTCAAGAATCTAACAATCCCAGTTTCTCCTAATTTTTGTACAGCTCCAATTATCTTCATATCGCAGTCTGGAATTCGGTTGAGTTCTTCAAGAAATAACCAAAACAAATCTCCATGGGCGGAAAGCCACCAAAGGGAGAACAGCTCACGAGAAGTCATTCCCCCGTTCCACCCAATGCTGACAAAAAAAAAAATCCATTATGACAATGAACAGAGGGGGAAATCAATTGGTTTAAATTGCTTGTGTAGCGCTTTGCGAATGTCCAAACCATTCTCTCCAACTTTATTGCTGAGAGTCACAACCATCTTGCAGAGCAGGCCACAACAAAGCCCATTTTTCATGTGTTGTGCTCTTGCTTTGCATAGGAGTGAAAAAACCAGGATCCTGCCTTTAGGCCATGGGCTGAACATGTCATCCAGCGGCGGTGTAACTGCTCGCGCTAGAAGAAGACAGTATACAATCTGGTAATGACAATTCCGGCTTTGGTCGACTCGCCCTTTCTGTGCTGGCGTAGCTATGCCTTCAACAAGCGACTGAAATTCCTTCTGTCGTAGGAAAACATTCTGCACTGAGTACAACTAGGGTAGGGATTCCATGGTCCTCTGTATCTCGTTGGTTCCCAACTCCCATCATCCTGCAACCACCAGCTATGGCTCATGGGAGCAACTTTCCGACACTGCCAGGGAAGCTCGGAGGTTGAACGTAAGAATTTTTTTAAAAAAATGGAACACAACAGCTCTTGAGCAGAATTTTTTTAAAAAAATTACACATGGCCCACAGAGCAGTGAGAGAAATACGATCACGCAGCGGTATACAGGATTTCTTAACGATCTAGAAATGTTAAAATGTTTAAAGGATGAGAAAGGCGTTTTTTTGGGGGGGGATTCGCCCTCTGTACAGAAAAGGCCAGGCCTCAAGAAGCTAGATTTATCACCGAAGCCTTCTTAGTTCTCAGTCAGGTGTACTGGAGACTCAAGGACATTTCTCTTTCCTGCCCAAACCAACCCTTCAAAATATAATACGCTGAAATTCGTTGTATCAGGCATTTTAGGAAAAAAGGGTCCTTCCTCAGGATCGCGAGAGGCATCTTCTCTGTACCTGATGTGTGTGTGTGTGTGTGTACATGTGTTCTTTCTGGAGCCTCTCCGGCTTTTGCATTCCACGCCGGCGCTTCCTCTGCGGCCTGGCCTCGGACTGTTTGCTGCTCACCAGCCACGTAACTGAAATCCACTCAAGTGGAGAGAGGCTGAGCGCTGCAGTCTTTTCCTGGCGAAGGCCTCCAGAACAGACACACCGTCAATTGGGGGTGGAATCAGGGTGGGTGCAGGGAAAGAGGGGATCCTCGCCTCTCCCCACACTCGCTCAGAGACTGCACGGAAAAGCACAAGTCAGGTCCAGGGGAACAACCCAGTCCCGCAGCAAGATCGGCTGGGTCCCAGTGGCTGCAAAGCTCGGCCGCCGTCGCCCGGCGCTCCCCGGCAGCTCATTTTCAGTCTTTTTTTTTTTGTCCTGCTGACAGGCGTCTCCGGCAGCAAGGAAGAGAGCAACCCGGAGGCCGAAATTATTTCGATCCCCCGTCTGGGACAAAAGAGTCAAGGGCCCAGGCAAGGGGGTAGGAGGCGCTGAGCCACAAAAGAGCAGCGAAGAAAGGATCTAAGGAGCGACCACGCTCTGGTTTGAAACACCTTGGATGAAAGCAGAGAGAGAGAGAGAGAAAAAACGTGGGTGTCAAGGCAGGCCGGGTTGTCTCCCAGCCTAGGTATCCGTTTATTTGGTGCGCTCTTTACACCTTGGATGAAAGCAGAGAGAGAGAGAAAGAAAACGTGGGTGTCAAGGCAAGGCCGGGTTGTCTCCCAGCCTAAGTATCCGTTTATTTGGAGCGCTCTTGTTGTGTTTGTGTGTACAGCCGTCTAACCCCCGTGTAAAGTGGATATGAAAACCACATTATCCTGATCTTGAAGTTGATACTCCAGTTCCCCCTGAAGAAAGAAAAAGAAAGGGCGAGAAAGAGAAAGAGAGATGTCACTATTGTCATAGGTATTCATGCCCAACTCAATTCTCTCAATGCATTATGTCATCAAAACAGCTACAGGACAGGGAGATGAAAATATGTTCAGGGAAGGAAGAACAAGATGATTTGGGGAACAGGGATTTTAAAAGAGAGAGGGTCTCAAAAATAGTCAATCAGGCCATCTTAGATACTGAGAAGCATAGCCCCCCCCAAAAAAAGGTAGCATTTCCAGGCACATGCACAAACACAAACACACACACAATGTGTGTTAACCTGAGTGTGTGTTAACTTCAGAGAGAATCAGTCCTCTCGGGCGACATGCAGAAACCAAACTGACAGCATGGATGCTCACAATGAGATGTTAAAAAAAGGGTTGGGGGGGGAGGAACACAACACAAAATGGCTGAAGCCGCTTCACAAACCATCAGCTCCCAGTCTGTGTCGTTGATGAGGACCAAGATTCCTGGCCGCCTGCAAGGAAACATAAATGCTGCTTAATAGAAGGGGAGGAAAGGCTGCAGGAAGAGGGTCGCGCTGAAGGCCATCTAGACCAGCCCACTTGGTTCGCGGCTGGAAACTGGCACTTGTGCATCCCCCCACAAAGGCGGCTCTCCAACTTCTGCTCAAAGATCTCCAAGGAGGAAGAGTGCATCATCCTTCTCAGCCAAAGATCGTCAAGAGATCTCTTCTCACATGCAGCCAAAACCTGCAACTTAAGCCCACAAAGTCTGAATTCATGTTTGCCCGCCTGTGTGCTGCAGCCAATCAAGCAAGGACATGAAACATTTGGCTGTCTCTCCCATAATTTTCCCTGCTTTATGCTAAACATAATCATTCCCTTCATATGTTCTTCATACGGATTGTTTTCCACACCTCCGACGGTCCTTGTTGCCCAGTGCCCTTCTATCTGTCAGAAAGTGTGGCTCTCCAAAACTTCATGGAGTACTCCAAATGAGAGAGACCCGACGAGCATAAAATAATGCGGAACTATGACTCCTCTTTATTTTGAACGCTGCCTACCATCGCATGCGCCTTTTCTGCTGCAGCGTCGTACTGGTGGCTCCTGGTCTGCTTATGCTCAGCGACCCCCTTCAGAAATCACAGGGATTGACTGCTGGGAACCTCATCCCGCATTTATTTATTTATTTATTTATTCGATTTATATCAATTTATATCGATTTATATTTGATACTTACTTACTTACTTATTTATTTATTCATTTGTTCGATTTATATCGATTTATATTTGGCTTCTGAGACAGATGCAAGACACTGCCTTCATGTTTTCCCAAGCTTATATTTGTGTCCACAAGGACTAGCAGCTCTACTAAAGAGGGATGCTGAATGCAGAGCAATCCCAGGATACCCACAGCTTTACAGATGTGCTTTACAGATGTGCCAATATTTAAGAAAATACTGGAAGGCTCCTGTTCAGGTTTCTAGTTGCTTGTTCCCCGCTCTCTCACGGACTCTCCATATATTTTCCTGCACAAATGTCATGATTCTCTGGCTGCTGATTACACCCAGACTCCATCATGCTGTCCCCCGCCTTATCCCTCATTTCATGTCTTCCTAGAAGTCGTGGAGCTCCCCTGAGCATGCCATAACCTCCCCCCACCCTGTATGCGGCTCCCCCCGCTCCTCGCTTTCTGCCACATAATCAGCGGCCCTTCCATCCCAATCGTGTCTTGCTGACACATAATCAAAACGACTGTGGGGCCACCACTAGGCTGCAGCTCCATTTCAGTGTTAAAATCCCAGCCCCACAGAATCAAGCGTGGGGCAAATTCATGCGGCAAGAGCCAGGCCCCACGGCCCCTCCTCTACTTCACGGCCACGTCAAAAAAACGGGCCAGATCGTCTCCAAACCCCCGGCAATCAGAGGCTGAGGGATTCCCCCACTCTTGATGGCTGGCAGAACCCTGCAGTTTTCGCTCCTCCCCTTACGAGGGGATCTGGCTGGCACACACACACACACACGCGGAGTGGTGACGAAGGTGGAACATGTAAAAACACACACACACCCTTGCTGCAGAGGAAGGCGCTACGGTTTGGAGAGAGATGACTGGGAAAAAAAATAAAAGAAACAGAAAAAAGGTGAGGTGGGAGAGAGGAAGAATGGACAGAAGCCTCCACAAGCTGGCAGGTCTTCTAGACACCAACCTGGTCTGGAAAGCAAGGCAGGCGCTGCTAAAGGACAGAAGCCATGTTCGCCAAACAACAGGCAGGAGGGAAAGGGGGGGGCGCGGGCTATCAAATTATGCACGGTCGGGGCAGCCCCTGGCTTTTAGAATTTAATTTCCTAACCCGTCCCTGAATGAAAAATGCCATTTCCCCAAAGACTTCAATCCCCCCCAACCCCGGGTGGGGGAAGTCTGTCGGGCAACCTCGGTCAAAGAAACCTTGGGCAGTTTTGGAAACAAATCTGGTCTGCCTCGGGTCAGAAGAAAAAAAAATAACCAGGGATCTCCAGGCAGGGAGACAGAGTGAGCGAGCGAGAGAGAGATTTTTCGGCCCCGTTACAGAGAAACGCAGAGGGCGGACCAGGGCAATTTAGGGGCGAGAGATGCAGGACAGACGCAAGGCGACAGAGCGTAACGCCACGTAGAAAGAAAGGCGGGTTAAAAAATATATTAAATAAATAAATTAAATAGATCAAACACTTACACAGACTCCCCTTGGACAAATAGCTCCGGCCTCTCTTTCAGCAGATTCTCTTTAATCCACACCAGCAAATTCCGAACATCCCCTGAAATTAGACAGAGATTCCCAGTCGAGACTGTGTTTTAACCAGCAGAGGCCAGCAATATCTGCCACCCCTTCTCATCACCCCAACGGTGTTTGGAAAGCAGAAAAGAGACCACGGGCCCAAGAGAATCCAAAGCTGTAGACCCAACGCCGCATGGCAGCTTCCGTCCAACATGGGGAGTTGTGGGGCCTGTTGAAACGCAGGTTTCCGAACAGTCCATGAACGAAACTTCAAAAAGCCTCTTCCAGATGTATTTCAAGCTAACTCATTCCTCCTTCTTTGGAATCGCTGGGGGCCATTCTTCCTAATCTGAAGAGGGGCTAAGAAGAGGCAGAAACCACAGAGTGAAACGCTGCCCGTCTAGACGGGTTCGGCATCCAGGTTTCTGCCGTTCCTGCGAGATGCCCTCTGCCTCGCCCACCCATGCCAGCTTGGGGGTGGTGGTGGTGCCGGGAGGCACATTTGCCAACCACAAAGTAGGGTTATTTCCCTTGTTCGGCATCCAGGTTTCTGCCGTTCCTGCAAGATGCCCTCTGCCTCGGCCACCCATGCCAGCTTGGGGGTGGTGTCGGGAGGCATGTTTGCCAACCGCAAAGTAGGGTTATTTCCCTCCCTACATTAGACCCACAACAGCCCTGCGAGGGAGGCTAGGTGGAGAGAAAACAAGCAGTTCACGTCCACAGAATGAGTCCTGCCTGGTCCTTTTGACCCCTGCTCACCCTTGGCCAGTAAGGGGATGAGCAGCTACTGAAGGGGATGAGAGGAGAAGCCCCCTGGCTTACTTTAAAAAACCCACCCATCTTTTGGCTTAAGAGACTAACGACAAGTATGTGTTTGGGGAGGGAGGGAATCATGAAAACCACCCACCCTTTCCCCTTTATGACATTATCAATTTGACGGAGATCACCAAAAACAGTCTCTTCGGGCTGCGAGAACATCAGCTCTTCGCCTGCTGGTGAGGGGAGAGGCAAACGAGAAAGAAACAGACACACATTGGTTTAAAAGGATTTTTAAGAAGGTGGGCATTTGCTGCTCCCTAGCTTTTTAGGTGAGGCCGCCTGCCTCTCTGTCTTCCAACACCGTTCCTACTCCCTCAAGTCAATCGGCTATATACCTACTTTGTGTTTAATTTCTTGTTTGTCGCACAACAACTACTAGCAAAACACATGGCTTCTATATGTAGGACGGGCCACTCCGGCAGGCCTCTGGGGCAGCCTTTTTTTGCACCCAGAACCCATCGGAAGCAGGAGCAGGCTTGGTGAATTGGTGAAAAAGAAGAAAGTCCGAAAATCCAAACCTGGAAGCCCCTGCATGTCTGCTTCTGGTTGTGAGGGCGGGGGAAGGTTTGTCTGGGGGTGGGGAGGAATATTCATGTTGAAGCAGCTACTTCTGAAGACGTCCAGGGGCAGAAAAGCCCACCTCCCCAGATGATATTATTGGAAATTGCCAGCGATGGAACCGGGGAAAGTACGAAGAAGAAAGTCCGAAAATCCAAACCTGGAAGCCCCTGCATGTCTGCTTCTGGTTGTGAGGGCGGGGGAAGGTTTGTCTGGGGGTGGGGAGGAATATTCATGTTGAAGCAGCTACTTCTGAAGACGTCCAGGGGCAGAAAAGCCCACCTCCCCAGATGATATTATTGGAAATTGCCAGCGATGGAACCGGGGAAAGTACGAACAGTGGCGGCATTTCAAAAACGGGTTTTTAGAAACTGTTTTCAATCCTTTCCTATAAACGAGCAGAGAAAGGAAGGGAAAATACAAGGAAAGGAAGATGATTCAGAATTGGAGGACATGGGGGGGGGGAGAGAGAGAGAA